TTCTATAGGAGAGGGGGATACCACTAGGTAATCCCGTTTGACTGGGTCAACCATTGCATTCGTCCTTAGCATATTTCGTTGGGTCATCCCGCGCGGTGTAGTCTGGTGGATCATTCCTTCGTGCACACCCTGGTAGCCCGGATCTCCGTTTATTCCCTCTGATCGGATGACTCCCATGGTAACTAATCTGGTGTTTTGCCCTACATAAATGGTCAGGGGGGTTGTTTGATATTCGTTTGGTCCGTCAGGATGGGTGGGCTCGAGTGCTATAGTTTGGTTAGGTTGGCCATTCAACCCGTGAGGGTGAGCCGAGCTGAATGGTGTTTGTGCGAGGATGGTTGACTGGAGGTGAGGCTGGATGGTAAGAATGGGTTGGTCTTGCAGGTGTGGGCTCTCTGTCTTTTTGGCGTCTTGATCTCGAGACTAGGGTGGATCAGATGAATGGGGTTCTGTTGGCAGATCCTTTCCTCCATGAGTTAGGATCGAGTCATTGACCATCGATGAACTTAATGAACGTGGCCTTTTACCGAAGGCCAAGGGTCTGTGCTCTGGGGTTTGGAGAGGTTGCATGGATGGAACTGGGGCACGGAATCGATTGGGAGGTACTTGGCAAGGCAAAAGCTCTGGATCATAGAACTGACTCACCTTTTCTTTAAGAGACTAGTTTTCGGCCCTGATGGATGCGTTTTCGCTCTGGAGTGCATTGTTCTCGGCTTCCAAAGCGGATATCTTGTCTGAATTTTGTTGCATGAGAGCGGTCAGAGCCTCTAGTTTAGCCTCGAGGCTGGAGTTAGTGTTGTCCGAAGGGTCAGCCATGGAAAATTCCTCTACGTAGCAAGGTTCGTCAAGCTGAATGATTGCTAAAGGCCCCATGGTGGGCGTCAAACTGTAGACGTAAACATCTACTTGTACGAAAGGGGGGTCTGATCCCGTGAGGTTGAGGCCACTAGCAATCCGCTGCACCTGCACACGTAAAGAAACAAGCGTGAAGCAAACGAGAAACACCGGGGTGGTGTTTGCCGTAGGCACTCTGACACTCAAGTCAGCAAGGCTGAAAGAGGCTAATATAGTGAGGACTAGGGAGTAAAGAGGTTACCAGAAGTCTAGTCGGGGACTGTGACTACGGCGATGATGTGAAGCTCTCAAGTAGGAGCTTCGGGTGTGAAGGTGTAATGTAATCTCATGTCCTTTGTGAGAGGGCTAGCCTCTACTTATATAGTGACTGTCTGGTCTCCCAGTCCTGGTGGGAGTAGGAGTCCTAGTGTGACTCTGATATAAACCCTAGAGGAATTAAGGCGGTGGTGAGCTATCTTACCAATGTTAGAATAGGAAGGTGATCCCGAACAGGAAAGTAACCTCGAATAGGAAAGTGACCTGAACAAGAATGTGACCTCGAATAGGAGACTGATCTGGAATAGGAAAGTGATATGTGGGTGCCGTAGGCTCTGGACTTGCTCATAGGTCTAAGAAGTGAACTGGGATTTTAAGGCCCGGACCCGATGGTTTAGGCTGATTGTAGCTCGTATCAAATGGGCCTAATCCGGATGGGGCCGCATCGGGATTGGGCCTGGTCTCTTCCTCATTCAGTGCCGTTCTCCTATTTGAGCCAAGGACGATTTTTGGCCCTAACAAAAATCACGCAGCAGAAAACATACATTCGAGATAAATAACATAGGAATAAAATCACACCACACAAAGAGACACGATATTTACGTGGTTCAGCATAACCCGCCTACATCCACAGATGAGAGAAATCCACCATAGTTTCATGAACACGATATACAAAAGTACACAATACCATAAACCTGGTACATAAAACAAAGTGGAAACAGTACTAATTTCTAACCATGCTCAACCTAGTACCTAGAGTGGAAATGATCTTAGTTTCTTAAACACTCTTCCCATGGTGTTTAATAACTCTTACATCAAATACCCTGTGTTCTCACATTCTCTCATTCTCTCGTAACTTTAAATTGATTATCACCCCTATATTTATAAGTAGTATATGGGATATTCTATTTCAATAAGATTCATATTTCAATCCTTAATAGAACTCTCATAATTCTATTCCTATTTAGAATTATATTCTTTATTAAAGAGTTTTTTTAAAGACATACAATTTTATATGGGAACAAATAGGAAAACGAGCCACAATATCCGAACATTTTTTTCTTCGATTTATATAAACCATTAGATCAGATTAAGATAAAAGGAGGTTAGTTTGTGTCTCAATTTAAATTAGATTTAGATAAAGGGTGGTTAGTTTGTATCTCATTTTAAGTTAATAATTTGTATTGCAATAGTTTGACCCATAACTATATAAGATTGAAAATGCACTAAACGTAAAAATATTTTTTTTTTCCATTATTTACTTTCTTTTAGTATTTTAGCGTTTTACCAAAGCAACTTTAGTTGTGTTCTTATTAAAGCTTAAAGATCTAACATCGATGCCAAAATTCACCTTCTGCCCTTACACAATCTGTTTGATAAACTCTTCCAAACTCTTTGAAGAAGATCCTCCTGGTTTGCCACTCTTTTCAGCCAATTCCTTCATTTTCAACACATTTTCTCTAATAACAACACTGGAAAGCAATTCATCCACCTTCCTCTTCATCTCATGCCTACTCACAATCCCGTTTTCATCACCCTTTAACCATAAACCAATTTTCCAACCTTCACATATGCAAGTTTTGTTGTAAAACTGATCACCAAAATAAGGCCAACATAACAAGGGTACCCCCATGCTTAGTCCTTCCATTGTCGAGTTCCATCCGCAATGCGTCAAGTAACAGGCTACCGCAGGATGAGCCAATACCTTTTCTTGCGGCGCCCATTCAACAATCTTTCCGAGATTCGTTACTCTCTCTGGAAACCCTTCTGGGTACTCGGCAGAGTTGCCATTGGTAAGGTCTTGCCTGGCAACCCACAAAAACGGTCTACCGATAAGTTCAAGGCCTAGCGCTAGTTCGCTGAGCTGCTGCTTGCTGAACATCGATGAGCTTCCGAAGGCTGCATAAATGACTGATTTAGGAGGTTGTCTGTCTAACCAGCTTAAGCAAGTTAAGTCCTCTGACCAAAAGTTTCCGCTAGGTCGCCCGTTCGCCAGAATGGGACCGACTGTTGAAATATTTGGGAGTAAATCAGTGACTGAGGGTTCAAGCTCATGAAACCAGTTGCACAGCAAGAAGTTGCAAGATGTCAAGATTTGGTAAATAGCAGGTACAAATGCAAAAATCCCCTTTTGTAAAGACGGGTTTCCGGGACAAAGCCAGAAGAGTTCGGCAGGGCTCAAAGGAGGTAAATTTGGTGACAGCTCAACCTTCTCATCCCTTCTTGGAGTACCTACAGATTTCATCAAAATATATGCAATTTTAACTTCAACGGGTCATTTTCAGCATTGTTTGAATACTCTTCCAAAGAGATTGCACTTTTGCAGCTTATTTACATTCAGAAAGAAACATCTTATTGCTGTTGACAGAAGTTCAGTAAGTAATAGCTCTCATTGCAATCCTTCACTAGTTCAATTATGCTAAGTCATAAATAAAGAGAAAACAACGTGAGATGTGTTATGACAAATTTTTGAACGCATACCATCAGTGTTGATAATGCCAGATTCCAAAAGTTTCGGAAGTTGAAGTGTCATGGGCAGGATTCCGGGTGATGCTGTAAAGAAAACTGCTCCCTTTAGTCCCAACTTCGCGGCAATCTCCAGAGCCCATCCGCAAGTTACATCAGCAACGACACAAGCGACCTTCTCATTGCCCTCCTGTTGATTGACCTTCTTTATCAAGTCCTCCAGATAACCAGGCATGACTTTATAGATACTCTGATTCAACTTAGCCTCGTCTCTTCGGTCATCATCCGGTTCTAGCCCATCAGCAAAAGGGACTATTCTCACTAGCTGCTGCTCTTCACCCATCTCTAGCAATGCGCCCATGCCTGCAACAAATGTTGGTTTCATGGACTTCATTATTCTTGCATATATGAACTCTGTAGTCACAAATGTAACCTTGACTCGACAATCAGCAAGGCGATAAGCTAGTTTCATAAATGGCTTAACATGTCCTTGAGCTGGGTGTGAAACAAGAAGCACATGACCTATAGCTTCATTTGACCGGTGAGGATCAGAGCATGTGGTTTCCATCTTTTTTCTCTAATCTCTCCTCTCCCTTACTGTTCCAAAAGAAGTCTATTGTTGCTGAGATTGGTCCTTGGTTCCAAGTTCTGTGAACTGCTTGTGCCAGTGTATTACTGGATTGATTAACTATTAAATAAGCAGACACATCATTACTTGAGGGAATGCTTTTTCTTTTTTGTTCATATTTCTGAAACTGTATTCAATGACCTTATTTCATGTTTCATTCATCAAGCACTGCCATCTTTTTAGGAATGTATTATAATTTAATGAATCAGTTTTCTTTCTTGTTAATCTGTGAGACCAGACATTTTAGTCATTCAAAACTCATGCACTTAAACCTTCATTGCTCGCGCAACAGCAGCTGCAATGCCGTTTATCTTCGGTTCATTTCTACCTCATTTTATTTCAAAGGAATTCTAATACATCTTCTAATTCTTTTGCACTTCACAACATGATAAAAGAGATGGGCGTCATAGGTGTTGTCATTAAGTATTCGTGACGCACCATCTAATTATTCTTGGACAACTTATAATTTACTTCGCCACCTTGTTAAAACTAATGGCGATGCCATCAGCAATTATATCAAATTTCCATCACCTGCACAACGAGCATTAATGCATTTGCTAATCAGGGTTCAAGCGCCCATTGCTAAAGAGTGGATTGAGATCAAACTTAAGCACTGACATATTATTTTGAAAGAATTAAACTGAAAACAAACTGGAGGTAACCATAAAACATGGATAAATTGCAAATAAAACAGTAGAAGTTCAGTGGATTTTGGTATCTTTTCATATTCAATACAGCAAATTTCATTAACAGTTCACTTCCCGCCCCCAACCCAAAAACTACAAAAAGTGAACCTAATGTCAACATCAAGCGCCTGAAAAAAAAAATGTGGTACACTGTCATAGTTCATCTTGACTCCATTCTAGGTATCTCAACTCTTTGTGCCCGGTCGAGCAGGCCCTAAGTAGTTTGTCACCAAGCCCATGATCGCAAACCTGGTTTTTTTGCCACAGAAGTTAGAATCATCATAGTGAAAATAATAGATGATCAAATAAATTACTGAACCAAATGATATTGTACATAAGACACATTCTGCGAGTACTAGGACGAGGAGAGAGATACATTTAAAGTACAATTCTTTCGAGGCATCTTTGCAAGTCATCATGCTCAGGACTACCATGACTAGTTAAAATATATTACAGTTATCCCCAATCAATTTATGGTTGTTGATCGGTAATCATAAATGAACAGATAAATCAAGAGGACTCGCTACAAAACCATTTCACACTGTATAAGGATCGACTCATTAGACAAAATAGAAAGTAATGTTGGGAAGATAGAACCTGAACAGAAAATACCCCAAGATAAAGCAGCAGAAATGCTTAATCATAGGACAAAGAACAAATTGAACCCAATAAATATGTATTGCCCAAATCTAACGTTTTGTTCAACCCACTATTAGATAACAAAAATATGCAATTCAAAATAAAAATAATAAACAATGCACTAATAATTAACCGTGCTTTAAAATGTCATCATCAACTTAGACATAGTAAACCAGGCCTAAATCTAAGCATGAAAAGAGAATGGAAATCAAAATGGATAATACTCAAATCGGCTGAAGTGCAAGCACAAATTTAGTTGTTAGTGAAAAGATGCAAGGCAACACTTTTGGTGACAAGCAGAATTAAACAAATTAGATCAACAACCATTGAAAAGAAATTGTAAACGCCATCCATTGCAAAGTTTCAAACACCACAAAATCCAGGACAAAATCCCTTTCAGTAATACTAAGCAATCTCAATAGACCATTAATACGAATCCTACACAAAACCCATTTGATTCCTATATGGATCCCATCAAAATTTCATGTATTCCTCACTATGATAAATACTGTTTAAACAACAACGAAATTTATAGAACACCACGGGTTACATTAATTACACGTTCAAAAACACAATAAAAACTTAAACAAGACTCACATCATAGCCATGGAAATTTGCTTAAGATCAGTCTCGATGTTCCTCATATTCGACAGTGACTGCGCACAGAATATGATTGCGAGCCAAGAGCATATCTTGTACTGCAACAAATATAAACAAATAAACACAACAGTTATTTCGATCCAATTGGTAAAAAAAAAAAAAAAAACAAAATCGATCACAATAAATTAAAAAAAAAAAAAAAAGGAAGGAATTTAAGAGCTGATTCAAAGGGAAGTAAAATTGAGTGAGTTGAGTAATTAACTAAATAGAGATTTGATTTGTAAACGAACCCTGAACATGACGCCGACAATCCCGAAAACGACGGCGATGAAACCAGCGTAATCGATGGGCAATTCTTGAGGAGCCACTGGAGTTGCCACAAAGGGCTTCGCCGTCGATGGCTGACGTGGATCGTTCGCAGAGGCTGAATTATGTGAAGACATTTTCGAGATCGATCAGTGTCACTGTGACTATTCTATTCTTCCTCCATATGTAGACTGAAACAGAACCCGCCCGGGCTAGGATAGGCCCATGGACCCATGCCCATATAAAATAAGGCCTAATAAATATCCTAGTACTAAGTATGGGCTTTATCTTGTGAGACTATCTTTACGCTAAAATAATCTTATTACTCTATGGGTGCGTTTGGCTCCCTGTTTTTATCCATATTCCCAATCCTATTCTCCAAATAATGTTTGGCACACTATTCCAGAAATATTATCCTATTTTTTTAATTACTTTTAGACCCCATAAGGTTATTAATTTCACTAAATGCCCCCTGAAATTTTTTTTTTAAAATTAACAAAAACCCCCCCATCAACCCAATTTGTCAGATTCCGGCAACCACCGCCGGTGATAGCCAGAATCTGTACAACGGCCTAAATTCCGACCATAAATGGCCAGAATTACACCGATCTGGCCTTTTCCGGTAAGATCCACCACGGATCTGGTCGAAAAATGCCAGATCTGGCCGTCAGCGACGGCCAAAGAAATGGCCGTCGTTGATCGAAAACGATGGCCACATCTTTGGCCGTCGCTGACGGCCAAAGATGGCCGTCGTTTTGGCCTTTCCGGCCGTCGACAGCCATAACAGGCCCTTAGATCTGGCCTTTTCCGGCCAGATCCGTGGTGGATCTGGCCGAAAAAGGCCATAATGATGCGTTACGGCATAGATCCGATCGGTCTGTGCCGTAACGAAATTTTCCGGCCAGATTCCGACGGTGGCGGCCGGAATCTACACTGCAGGTGGTGGGGGTGTTTTTGTCATTTTATATAGTAGGGTCTTTAATTAAATTAGTAAACCTATGGGCTTTTTCATAAATTTTTCAAATTTACCTCGTAATACTCCCCTATCCAATAATCCAATATTATCCTCAAAATCCTATCCAAAATACTACACCAAACGCACCTTATAACTTTCAGTCTTGTTATTTGTCCCCAGAGGTGGGAACTTGGGACCGGACCCGAAAAACCCACCCAAAAAACTCTCAATTAATGTATAATGATTTTTTCACCTTGTTTCCTCACACATTCAAGAATCCTAAATACTCCAATTGCCTGAAAAAAACTTATGTGTGAACGTCTTAATCATCAAGTCTTAGCAAGGCAGACAAACATTCTACATGAAAATCTATTCCAATAGGATGAACAACTACATTGAAGAATATGTGAGCTAGTTTTATTGAAGAATCTATGAGTTTTAACCACATACCAATAAAAATAGAATATTATTAGGTGGACAGAGAAGTAAATAATTTTTAATTTCAATTCATCCGTTTAATGTCATGAAATGATAAAAAAATTTATGATCAGTTTATACTTAAAAAATTAGGAAGACAAGTTCCATTACGATTACATATGCATATACCATTTCATTCTATTGATGAAGGCATAAAACTTTATTGAAAGGTAAAATTTTCTATCCATTGTGCCCAATAGTTGGCTACTTTATGTGTTTGTTATCATAAATGTTTTTGGCTCAATCTGCAACTATAAATTTTAGTTTACCTTTTTAATTTCTAGAAATGAGTAAACGATATTTTCCCATCCAAATAATGGTTTAATAACACTTTTTCGCTCACATACTTTTAAAATACTATTTTATTCTGTTTCCGATTCCTACATTTCTGCGGCCCCACACCACCATCATTCTCTTTCCTAATCATCACTCACTAAAACCCCTCAAACTGTACCCCCGTCGACACCACCAATCAAGCGACTAGGGTATGCACAACCGCTTCTCCCAAGTCAAATTCCGATCAATCTAACCACCAAAATCCAACCTATATTGATTATGTATCAATTTTTAACTTTTTAGAAAGTAAGTTTTTCAATTTATTGTTTACCTTTTCCATATATTTCTTATTCTTTTCATTTTTCCATTTTTGGGACATTTTTTTTAGATTTTTTATTTTCTTATTAAAATTTGTGATATTTTATATAATTTAATAATTTTTAAGCCTAACATGGGTATTGGAGGCTACTGAACATGAAGTAAAAGTAAGGGGGTGGGTTGTGATTGATGGGCAAAGCAGCTGAGGGCATTGAGGTCATTTACCCTTTCTATGATTAAAATAGAGTGATGCTATTGGTCCTTCATAATTTATCTTAATAAACCCCATCTCTAAATTTACCCCTCTAAAATTTTTATGCATATCTAAATGTCTAAATAAAAACCATCCATTTACAAAATAACCCTTACGTTGCGTTTGGTTAGGGGTCTAGGAAGATTACTCCGCTAATCTTTCTTTAATTTTCAAGATTCCCCTATTTGATTGTTAAGTAATAAAATATTCCAGTAATCTTTTAATATGAATAGTGTTTACTATTGGTAAAATAGAGGGTAACCAGATTATCAACTTAGGAGGTGTTATTAAAATATTACTATTGGTGATTTTTATACCTATTTTGCCCTTAATTAAATACCATTTCAAATACATTTGCATCAAATGTCTACCAAATAACAATTAGCCCAACTATGCGAAATGACTTCTATGACCTCATAAATAAATTTTTTTGACAGAAATGCCTCTCATTTTACATAAAATTAATCTTAATTTTGTCATAATTTTACTCCTAAGAAATAATTTTTTTGGACAATAATACCCTTGATCTGAAAACTATTTACATAACACCCCAGCCACCAAAGACGATTGCCGATCGCCAGCCACCATTGCCAACAAACGCGAATAGTCATCGGAATGACACATGACCAATTGGAACTGGCCGATCGTGTGTCAATTTGGTCGTAAACGACCAAATAGTCGTAGATCTGGTCAGAAACAGATCTATTATGGCCATTAACAGCCACAAATTGACTGTTAACGACCATGGATTTGGCCAGATCCCCAACCATCTGGTCGTTTATGGTCATATTTGGCTGGTTGTGCATCGTTCTGGCGACTGTGTATATAACCAAATGTATATAACATAACATTCCCAGTACTCTTGTAGGTAATTTATCTCATTAATAATCTTATTTTTTTAATAATGAAATATTCTCGGAACCAAACACAGTCTTACATTTATATTTTTACTATTATGTTATACTTTCTCAATCCGTGTTTTATATATATATATTAATCAAGCATATAAGCAGTTGTGCATATTGACAATTTAAATTAAATTAATATTAAAAGATTTACTCTATATTGATTGTGTATAAGTACGTTTGAGTCCTATTTAGTAATTTTCATAAAGGATAAAATTGTAAGGAAAAAATGGGGTCGACTAAAGACACTGACGACAGATCATTTAAATATTAATTCAGCATATATGTAGCTGTGCAATAAAGGTGGAACAAATCAACCCTAACCCGGCCCGCATTGGGGAGGGTTCCCGGACCGCCTTATAGGCGGGCCGGGTTGAACCCAACCCGCATGCAACCCCCGAGCGGGCCGGGTTGCTATTTGTTTACAATAGCCAACCCGGCAAGTTGGCAAGGCAACCCGCCGGGTTGGCCCAAAAAAAATTAAAAATTAATTATTTTTTTCAAGTTTCCCCCATTTTTTTAATTCTTTTAATTAAACTATTATGATTGAACTCTTACAAATAATTTTAAACAATAATATTAAACTATACTTCTAAATCATAAATATTAAAATGTATAAAACTTCGTAATATTTGACACATTGTTATTATTATTTTTTATGGTACGTAAAATATAAAAAAATTAAATACTGAAGTCTTATTCTTAAATTTTCATGTCTTGTATAAAATATAATTCATTCTTATGCTAAAGTTTCATCAATTGAATGAATAAATCTAATTTTTCTTATATTACAATTTTATTGTATTAAAATTGAATTAATATTTGAAATGTTAATAAAAAAATTAATTTAATTTAATTATTGATATATGAAAAGTTAACTAAAAACAATTACATTTATAAATCGTTAATTATTTATTTGAAAAGTTAACTAAATAAAACAAAATCAAAAATTAAAAAAAGGGGTTGACCCGGCCCGACCCACAACCTAACCCGACGGGTTAGGATTGGTAGGCCGGGTTGGGCCAACCATTCCTGCAAACATGGCGGGCCTAACCCGGCTTGCCTTTGTTGGCGGGCGGGTTAGGACCAACCCGCCAAAAGTAGTAACCCGCCGCGGGCCGGGCCCGGCGGGTTACTTTTCCAAATCCAGGTGCATGTTGACAATTTATATTAAATTAATATTAAAAGATTTACTCTATACTGATTGTGTACATCTACGCTTGAGTCTTATTTAGTAATTTTCATAAAAGATAAAACTGTCAGGAAAAAAAATTGTAATTGGGGTCGACTAAAGACACTGACGGCAGAGGTAGATGACAGAGAGTAGACAATCATTATCATGCATTATCAGTACCCACAGAGAAGTCGAAAGTAATTTTTAGTATAACAGGGGGTTTATATTTTGGCCAAACCTCGAGGGGTTTTATAAATAATATTTGAAATGGAAATATACTTATTTATCAATTAAAGGGAATAGTTTTAAGAGTTAAATACATCTTCCTACCCAAAAAATATTCCATTGACAAATTCATGTCCACCCACTTTTTAAATACAGTTTTAGCACCCAAAGATCAGTCATTTTTGTTGTGGGAAGGATAAAAGGTCAAAAATTCATTATTAGTAAGGGTAGAATGGTCAACAAACATTTGGTCGATAGAGAAGAGAAAATAAAAGGGCAGGCGCACGTTAGCAAGGAAATGGCGCACGTTAGCAAGGAAATGGTACACTTTAGCAAGGAGATGGCCGGTGGTTTTTTTTGTTTTCTAGTAGATCCCGACATCCAAAATCACTTCCGAGACCACCCACAGAATCCCCATCACTTCCTCTATAAAGCCTAAGCCTCCATTTGTCGTCATCACTCACCATTTCCCACCACCACCTTCATTCACATAACAACTGGATTTTCTGTCGTTTCCGGTGTCGGAAATCCACCATGAAACACACCGCCTCTTCCATCCTCTTCCTCAAG